CCCAAAAGTTGTTCTCATACAGACTGAGGTGGACTGCAGTTTCGACCTCGCATCGGTCTTATCAACACCCCCAGCGGGAATCGAACCGTGTCAGTGCAGAATGGGATCTTGACACGTTAACCACTCGGCCACATTGCCACGAGTGCCCTTGAGTCACAGGGCATAAGGGAATTTCAAGGAAATATATATTCGCTTCATCGGCAATCCCACCAAAGAATATGATATGGCAAAAAGCCTGACCTTCCTTGAAATTGAGCTATGCCCTGTGACCCAAGGGTACTCGTGGAAATATGGTAGACTGGTTAATGTGTCAATCTCATGTTATGCACTGTCACGATTCGACTCCTGCTGGAGGTGTTGATAAGACCGATGCGAGGTTGAAATTGCAGTCCACCCTGAATAAGAATAACTTTTTGGAAAGCAAGGAAATGTGAAATTCAATGAAACCGTCAGCTCTACTCATGTCATTGTGGAAAAATTCTACTACCAGTCCTTCATCACCTTAAACGAAATAGGTTGAATAACTCTCATAGTTTTTAATTAGCCTAAGTGACCTAGTGTAACAAAGTCCTTAGTAAAGAATTTCTGATAATATATAAATCTACTTATATTTGAAATAAGTAGCATCGGCATTGCAATGGCAAATACACGTTTGCCTTAACATATTTTTAAAAATTTGTTTTGGGTGAGGTCTGGCTTGTGTTAACGTCGCCACAAAACTGACGACAAGGAATTAAATCCTATTGGGGATGCTGATAGGCAGGCGAATCTAGTTCAGCATGGATGAGCTAGCCTTTTAAGAAGCAAGGTCTACGTAAACTTTAATGGCACCCATTATGGGAAAATCCAACTACTACACCCAAACTCTCATATAAGATCTTATTCAATTTTTAAGAGATATATAACGATTTGGTTAGTCCACCTTCATGTAAGTCAATGCATATGTATGCTTGCGAGTCTCTGTGAACATATTATTAGTACAGCTACGTGACAGACCATGTTAGTCGCATCCCATTTGAGGCTTGTTGGCACCCTTCCTTATTCTCGGGTCTATTTAACAAATACAGCAAATGCTCACTTGCATTCCGACCCTTATTCCTTACACTCAGCATCTTCCCAAATCTGCTGCTATTGATAACCTCATTTCTTTTGTACTTATTAGCAGCAAACCGGATAGTTTAGGGTAATTCTCTCTCTAGTTTAGCGG